AAGTCATGTGAAACTTTTATATATTATTCATTCTATAATAAATTTTTATTATTAATTTAATTGAAAAATTAAGATCAACTTATCATGATTTGATTATATATATATATATATATAAGATTAAGTACACAAGCTTTATCCAAATAAAAATACACATATCTTGATTTAATTAAAAAAAGTACAATATATTGCTAAGTACATAAATTTTTTACCCTTAAAAAATAACATTAGAATCAAAATCAATCATTTCTTAAATTATACACCAAACTATTGTATACTATTTTTATATTATATAAAATTAAAAAACAGTTCAACGTTTTCAATAAATTTAAAATTTGAAATAATAAAACAACTAAAATAATTATAAAATCAATTTTAATTTTAATTTTTATTACTTTTATAAATTAATTATTCATATATATATTTTGAATAGTATAATTTAATATTAAAATATTTGTCAATTTAACTTGTGGCTCGTTGTGAAATTTCTTGCCTTTATTTGTGAGGTCAAAAGCTTGAATGGATAGGCATGCATATAGATTCTTATAAAAATCATAACCAAGGACCATTGAATAATTTTGATATGCAAGACCGAGAGATTAAAATATTTTATAATTTATTGCGAGAAGATAAAACTATCTTCCACACACACACAAATGTAAATGACACACGCCTACACACATTGTTATTAAAATATAAATGACACACATACATTATTATTAAAATAAAAATAAGACTTATCATAACTCCTTTTCTTTTAAAATGTAAATCACACACACACATTATTATTAAAATGTAAATGAGACTTGTCATAACTCTTTTTTTTTAAAATGGAAATGAGATATGTTTTTTTTCTTAAATGAGAATTTATTAATGAAGAAATTTATTATTATTAAAATGAAAATGAGGCTTGTGTGTTCTTGAATGAGAAATTATTTTTCAAATCATAATACTTATTTCTCTCTATCATCAAGTTAATTTTCTAAAATTATTAATAAAAAGATTGATTATTGTCAAAATAAAATTGATGCTTGTTTTTTCTGGAATGATCGTGTTAAAAGAACACACACACCTGAGGGTGGTTTTATCTTTTTACATCGAAGTCCAATTATATTTAGTTTCTTTGATCTTGCAAAACAATATTATAATTATTTGATCTTGCGGATCAATAAATGCTGCTTAGTGATATTTGATTGTGATTTTTCCCTAGATTTTATCCATTAATATTTAATTTTTTATAACTTTTATAAATTGATGACCAGATTTATTAATTTTTTTCTTAATTTTTATAAATCAAAATAAAAAAAATTAAATCTCAACCATCCTAATTAAATCAAGATAAGTGAATACGCAGGTGAAATTATTTAGTTCCCATATAATATATTATTTCTCCTGCCAACAAACGGTCTTGAGTCTTGAGATTGAGTGTGACTGTGATCAACTGTGCAGCAAATCAAAATCTAAGAACAACAAGTCTCTGTGTTAAAAACAGGATGAATCTCCAACCAGTGAACTGAATGTTGAACCAATATCTTTGATAAGTTTAATGATCATTTTCAATACCTTGTTGTTCCAAAGCTAAAATTTAGAGCAACATGAAAGCAACATAAACAAGATCAAAATACTTTAGACCATCCAATCCAATATTATCACAGACCCAGACCCAAATCATGTGAAGGTTCATTACAAAATTACAAAACCAAGAAGATGAAAAACCTGCACAAAATAGTCCAAAAGTTCTGTCATTTTCAAACAGGAAACTAAAAAGATTTCTCTTAGCCCCAACCCCAACCCCAACTCGTAATTACCAAAAAGTATTCAAGTCAGGTCAGATCATCTAAATCAAACAAGTTTAAATGTTGATGATGATTTCTCTGAAGAGTATAAGCAGACAGATTCAGATACCTATGCTGATCATAATCTTCATTATTATTCCATGGAGCTCTACAAATCACACAACGAATCACTCTATTATTCACTTTGCTTCCTTTCCACCTCAGAAAGCACTGTTTATGAATCGCATTCTGGCAAGTCCCACAAGCCACAAGCTTCTGAATCTGATCTTCCTTCTTCATCTCACCTAAACAGATCAGACACGAAGTCCCATTCTCAACCTCAACGACGACGTTATCGGAACATCTTTGCCGGTTTCGACTGAAGAACAACTGGTGAAACCTCTGGCGGAGTGCGGCGTCGGCGAGGGCGTCCGGCGAGGTAGGCAGCTGCAGAAGGCAGTGGAGCTTAGGAAGGAAGAGAGAGCTCTGGAGGACGCGGACGTTGTCCAAAGAGACGCGGAGGACTCGAATGAGGACGAAGAGAATGTGCTTGTAAGGGGTTACAGGGTTAGGGCATGAACAGGAAGGGAAGATGGAAAGAGTGACGGTGTAGACATTTCCGGTGACGCCGAGGAGGAAGAAGGTGGAGTGGGAAAGGTAGAGGAGCTGGAGGTCTTGCCGGAGTGCTCGGTTAACGGGCCGGCGAGGGAGAGGTTAGGAGTAATAGGTCGGCGTCGCCATGGAACCTGCTTGAATGTCACCGTCAGGGAGCGGGGGAGCAAGGTGACAGGTGAGAGAGTCGAGGAGAGCCTACTTCTTCTTTAAGTAGCCTTTGAAGAAAATGGGAAAGAATCATTGCATGCCCAGAATATTTGTTTTTTATAATTTTATTTTATTATATCTATTTTATCTTTTGATTATTATTAAATATTGAGAAAATTATTAAATATTAAAAATATATTTTTTTAACCAACAAAATATTTTTTTGTTATACAAAAAAATTAGATAGATAAATGTGGTCAGCTCGCTGATGCCAATGAATTCCTCTAGATTTCAACGTTTACAAAACTATAGGCAAATCCTTATAAATTAGATTACTTTTTATAGATAAATATTAAAGTATTATATTTTAAAAATATTTATATTTAACAGGAGTAAAATTAAAAATTTATTCAATTTTTAGATAATAAAATTTAATTTTTTTGTTTTGATAAAAATGCTAAAGGGAATTTATTATAAAAGATCAAACTCATTGAAGTGAGTATTAGGACTGTTTGGAAGATTTTAGATTGGCTTAGCTTGGCTCTGGGTGAAAACGAATTTGAAACTATCTTTTTCAATCACAAAAACGAATTTTTTTTAGGACCATTCCCTCCTATTCCTGTTAAAAAAGATTAGAGAATTTCTAGGAAGAATTTCAGCATCAAAGTAATTATTTATTTACAAATTAGATTCAAAAAAATTATAAAATTATACTATAAGATCGTCGGAGTGAAGAGAAATGAAATGATAAAGCAAAATAATCAAAATGTCCTTTTTAATGATTCAGTGAAATTATTAACTTTACTTATAAAATTGCTAATATTATACATTAATTCCCTTTTATTGCTTATTAAATATATAATATTACTGGTATATTATGTAACTATATTAATTACATCTGACTTGTTAAATTATTAAATTCCCTTGTAAAATCAATAACATTATTTATTAAATTTCTTGTGTTACTTGTTAAGTCAATAACATATGTTAAATTCATTGACTTATTAAATTATTAACTTTACTCATAAAATCATTGGTATTACTTGCTAATCTTCTCGTGTTACTTGCAAGGTCGATGACATTATTTGTTTTTAAACAGTAGGACAATTTGATCATTTTATATTAAAAGTTTATTTATATGAGGTCCTTCAATATGTAAACATGCTCAAGAAACTCATCTATCCTTCATAAAAAGACATGATATATTGCATAATGCTGAAAATTCAGGGGCTATAGTTGTGTGCGTTCAAGAATCAAGATCCCATGCATAACTCTCAAAGTAAGAGCACAACACCTTGGAGCTCCCATAACTAAGGTTAAGCAAAATCAAATTGAAATAAAAAATCAAATTGAATTGAATTAAGTTTTCTCTATTTAATTTGATCTATTTGATTTTTCATTTCGATTTGATTTTTTTTTAAAAATTTTGATTGATCAGTTCAATTCAATCTAAAAATTCTTAAATCAAATAAATTGAATCAATTGAATTATACATAATAAATTCTTATCTAGATGAACAAGAAATATCTACCATTTGTAGTAGTAGTAGTAGTTTTTTTGTTTAATGTGATGTTTTAATTTTTTTATTTCTATAATTTAATTTTTAATGCAATAATACTGAGTCTTATTAATTTTCTCATAAATTATAGTATAAGATTGTTATTTTTTTTTGTTGGGCCTTCAACATCAAGGAAAAAAATTAGATAGAAGAGTTTATGAAAATCAGACTCTATAGACCCAAATCAAAGCCCATAAATCAAATAGATTGATTGAATCAAACTATTATAATTCAATTTAATTATGTATTTTGATTCGATTCAATTTTTTTATATAATTCAGTTGATTGGTTTTATAGAAAGTGAAACCAAACCGACTGAATGTTCACCCCTACCCAAAATGTTATGAAGATGTAAACCCTCAAGCATGTCGATGAGCTATGTCTTGATAATCAACAAGAAGCCAAGTTTCTTAGCAGAGTTGCATCTTCATTTGTCTTCACGATCTCTAGTGAGTAGCATGTCCAATGCTATTGATTAAGCCATCTAAGTCAAAGGCTTGCTTAATCAAAATCTAGTCGTGTTCAACGCAATTTTCTTTGTTCCTTTGATCTATCTTTCCTCTCAAACTCAAGTTTTATGTCTCTGGAAACAATTTGAGCAAACAGAAAAGCCACGGCAGCATCCATAAGTTCATTTGAGGGGAAAAAATCGTATTTAATAAACACTTTGCTTTTGTTATGATTTGATAATTTTTGCATCATTTTTGAGAGTTTATAGATAAAATTGCACTACATTTAAGTTAAGAATTGCACTATATTTAAGTTAAGAATGCTAGTAATTCCTCGCAGAATTCTCTATGAATAGATTTACATCTTAACCCTTTACAATCTGTCTTTCAAGATTTATAATTGTGCGATGTCGCGAGCCAAGAACCTCAAACCTTGTGTTTCATCTTGTAAATCAGGAAGACCTTGATTATTTTGGAGGACCTATATGTCACTTACTCAAATGTAAAGCCCAAATCCAATACAGATTTTTTCTTTTAATTTTTTTAAAAATCTTTTTGCCTTTTTATTTTTGTCCGATGAACCCTGCTTAATCCTCCATTCCTCCCGGAACCGCGAATTCACTCTCGCAGGCAATCGCCGTCGCACAATCCACCACCCGCCTAAGCCGTCCGCCGTCCGCCGTCCACTCTCCATCCGGGCCCTCCATACGGCCGCTTCTCTCTCAAATCGATGGTGTCTTCTATAGAAACTCTTCATGTCTGCTAGAACTTTCTTCAAAATAAATTCGCGGTGTTGGCTGAATCGACTCTTGTTTTTCTGCCATATAGGGAGCTTTTAATACGTATTTTAGAATTGTTGGTACTTTTACATGAACAAAACATCGGGTATCCCCCATTCTCCTTTACGAGTTTGAAACCGAGTTCCGTTCCATGGCAGCATGTTGTCCAAGTTGCTCCAAGTTCACACCAAGTTCTTTTCTTCCACACTCCTCTCTTGTTCCCTCTTTTTTCGGTGTCCCTTCTAGCTATGTGAGGTCTGTTAATGTCCGTTGTTTCTATAAGTGTCAAAGAGTTTGGCTTCGGTCAAGCCGTCGTTTTGTTCCTCTACTTGCTTCGTCGTGCAGCAATTTTGAGTCTGTGGAACTGCAAGAAGCCCAGAATGCTGTTTCAAAACTTCTTCGAGAATTCGGGGTGTCTGAGGAGGAATCTAATTCTATTGCATCTAATTCACCGAAGTATGTGAGGATGCTGGTTGATGAAGTACGGGATTTGGACGAACTTTCAATGTGGGAGACGCAAATTGGCGGGTTCCAGGAGAAAGTGGTTCACATTGCTAGGAAGAAAGGTGATAATGGCAAAGTTGTATACTTGGAGAGTCTGGGTTTGAGCCTCTCTTCAGCTATGAACGTGGCCAGATATCTGTCAGGAGAAACACTTGTAGCACTCATCCATAAGGTAAGCCACTTTTAGTCTGTCAACCAAAGTTTTCAACTTTAGTCTCTTCAACGAACCTTGCTTGGCTGCTTGTATTATCTGAATACTGTAATTTATTGTTTCTTTGATTTCTTGTATTGAGCTGATAACACTATCAATTTTGACTTGTTGGTACATTCAGCATTTTTTAATATGTCAGACCTAATTGTTGCTGTTTATAGGTTAAGTGTATGAAGGAACTGTTCTTTTCTGGCAGTGAAAGTTATGAGTTCCCGGTCAGAAGAGTTCGCAATATGATGATGCAGTTATCTATTCCTATTGATGAAGATCTGCAGCAGACTTTGTCCTTTTTTGAAAAGGTTGAATACATGTTTGTCTTTCAACAATACTCTGCTGTGTTTTGCTCTTCAAACTTATTTATTTTCATAATCCCCGTTTTATCTGTTCTGTATTAATTTTCTGTTTAAATGTTATTTTTTAATATGTTGTTTCCTAAAAATACTTCAGCTAAATTTTTTTGTTTCTTGCTGTAGGTTGAAGCAAGGCGTGGAGGTTTGACCATGTTGAATTCCAGTGATGCTGCTTTTGATTTTTTAATTGAATCATTTCCCCGTCTACTTTTGTTATCAGTAAAATCTCACATGAAACCGTTAGTGGAATTTCTTGAGAGTGTTGGAATCCAAAGAGATCTCATGAGAAATATACTGTTGACTTTTCCTCCCTCTTTGCTGTGGAATATTGAAGTATTTAAAAGTCGAATACTAGCCTTGAATGAGGTATATGAATTTTATTTTGGATTTTTGCGTTTGTTTGCAATACTCAAAATCTTGGTAATTTTTAATAATTTTTAAAAATGAATTTTTATTTTATTTTACTTTTTGGGAATTATCATTTTTTTTTCTGGTGTATTTTCTGAAATGAACTTGCTGCATTCTCAGTTTCTTCTTCATTGTCTTTAAATTTGGACCTGCTTGTTCTTTATATGGAACTTTGATGTTTTGTCTTTGTCATGCAAGTAATTAATCAATCAAATTTGTCATTCTGACAATCAATTAATTCCATCCCCACGCAACATTCTTTGCAATTCTGCACTCTATAATGCTTAAAGTTGCTAAGGCAATGACTTGTGCATGAAAAATGCTTTTCTTTTTTACTGGCATGTGTCCTGTTGAACTGAGAATCTAAACCTACACATAATCCTAATTCTTAATGTCATTACCTATCTGTGATTGAGAGTTGATTAGCTTGTTTATTTTGTAGATTGGTGGTGTAAATAACAATCATGTTAAGTTGCTGATAAAATATCCATGGATATTATCAAAAAGCATTCAAGACAACTATAAGGAAATCCTCTCTTTGTTTGATTCGGAGAAGGTATGGTTTTTCTTTTCTTGTCTCAATTTGTATGCTTATGTGCCTACGTCATGTCATACACATGACTATAAGATGCGTTTAAAACAAAGAAAGCAGATCAATTTTGGTGGTGGTTCTGCTAGAAAAGTTATTTCTTGCCTAATTACTGGTTCTAAAGTGAGTTAGTGGTCTTAATTTCTTATTAAAAAAAAAGAGCAAGCTAGAAGTTGTATATTTAATGAGTTCTGTATCATCAAGGTAAAAGACCTGTGTTGCTGCCCTGTTATTTATTACTCAAGGAACATTTTGCTGTTTCTCCTCCATATACCTGTATAAAATATAGTAAATGAGTGGAGTTGAGGCTTTAAACGAGTGGGAATAACCAGTGTCATTGTAATGCTATTTTGAAATGTAAAATCAAATATTAGTTTTGACTCATAATTATGCATGAATTCGGTCTTATAGAACAAACATTTGCAACCAATTCTGAAAACTTGCTAGTAGCAGCTTTTAGTGCCCCATGATGTTTCATTCTCTATAATCATCTCATTCTCAACTTAGTGCAATTGTATAATCAATGAAATAGTGATTAACTGTTCAATCATCCACCAATCTCTGATCTTATTATATATTAATTCTTTGAATTCTATGAGCCACAGTGATGGTCAAAACTATTGCAAATTCAGGGGCAAGTGCAATAATTTATGGAAATACTGGGATATTAACAGAATGCTTCATCATAGGTTCCCAAGGCATTTGTTGATCATGCAATCAAAAGCTGGCCCCATATCCTGGGCTGTTCATCTAGCAAGCTAAAGCTGATGGTTGATCAGTTTGGTGAGATAGGAGTTCAACAGAAGAAGTTAGGTCAAGTTATTGCTAAAAGTCCTCAGCTACTGTTGCAGAAGCCACAAGACTTTCTCCAGGTAGTGCTTGTTTTCATCATAATGTATCATCTACTTGTCATACTTCCACATCCATTGCTAGTTAAAATAGCTTTATGCATTTTTCATATTTTGTAACATTGAAATGCTTATTTGTGTTCATATAAATTCTGATTTTCTAATTTCTAGTATACTGTACACATTTTTTGGCCCTGCATTGTGTTTAATTTTTGGGTATCCTTGTGGAAATTAGTTTGCACATGCACTTAAATATCCATCAAAAGGCTACTGAGATATTTTAGGTTTCTAATGTGAACCCTTATGTGGTAAGAAGTGATGAGAAAGCATCAGTATCCGTTATATCATTAAGTTCTTTCATAAGAGCATCTTTTTCTTGTTCTAAATTTATTTCTTTGGAAGATATACCTGTTCGGCTATTCCTTAAAGACTCGATTCAGAGTAGAACTTTTTTGCTTTATTGTTCTTGCTCAGGATCATTTACCTCCTGTTCATTATGAAATACAGAGTTTTTGGTTGAAAGTTTCAGATAATCAGTTTTGATCTCCTTGCTTCTTCAATACATTCAGGGTCTTGGCGACATATTAGCAAATTTTAAACCACATTGAAAAGTATGAACTAATGTGTTTTCATTATGGAATCTCTTAAAAATAATTTCAGCTGATCATATATGTGTTGGTCAACCTTAAAACTAGTGTCTTACCTGTTAAGGTGATGTACTGAATTGGCATTCAACACCCATCCTGCATTCTGAATAAAGAACATGTCTTGATCCCTCAGTTTCTTGGCTTTAAACCAGTTCAACTCCTCTATTTAATTAACTGTTATGGGTCTACTCCATATACCAGAAAAAAATTGGGGATGTGTTGGAATTGGAACTGCCAATCGTTATGTTTAGATAATCTGAGTTTGAGTGTTGTGTTTTTCTTAGGTTCAGCTTCCTTCTAGTTCAACTATAGTATGGAAATCCAGGTCAAACCGCCTAGTTGAACTGGTAAACTGTTAAACCAGTGTCTTGATTTGGTTAATAAATGTTTTGTTTATGACTAGTTTGATTATAGTTTGGTTATGATTTCGACCATTAACCCTTGAACCAAATCCCCTGATTGGTTCAATAATCAGTTCGATGTTCAGTACTTTGGTTCAACGCCATGCAACCTTTTTAGCACTTGATTGTTGAATTTCTCTTGCCTTATCTTTTAGTAGTGAGTTCTTGCTTTGCCAGTAGCAAAGTTCTTGATGCCATCACTGATACTTGAGTTTGTCTTTTGAGCCGTATAGAAGTTTGTATCACTCTTATTGCTATGTCGTTATTATTTAGTTGTGGAATAAGCTCCTTGTTCATTGTTGTTTATAGGTTGTTCTGTTCTTTGAAAATATGGGGTTTGATAGACAAACAATTGGGAAAATACTGGTTCGCTGCCCTGAAATCTTTGCTGCTTGCCCTGCCAAGACTCTCAAGAGAAAGATTGAGTTCCTCCATAGTATTGGTGTTTCTGAAGTTCACCTTCCTCGGGTCATAAAAAAGTATCCAGAACTTCTTGTGTCCGATCCAGACAGAACCATGCTACCTAGGTATTATTCTGAGTCATGCTAGAATCAAGTTGACTTTTTGATACATAAACTTTATCTGCTGGATTTCTGTTCGTATGATACTATGGTTGTGGTTGAATGAGACCTCTTAGTTAACAGTATTACTAAAGGCTTGGTTGATTTAGCTAATTTCACCTAGTGGGATAAGACTTGTCTTTGTTGTTGTATGATATGATGGTTGCGTTTACATTCAACTAATCAATGTTTTGCCAACAATCTAGGTGCCTCTGGTCATCCTTCCCTTTGCAGTGGCTGTTTACTGTTTTAAACATTCTTAATCCTTTTGAATGTGCCTTAAATCTGACCTTATATCAATTGTTACTCTTGATTCTGGTTTCTTTTAGTTATCAAAAATAATATTTTGGCAAGATTCCCAATAAGCGTGCCTTGCTCAGATGCAAGAACCTGATTTGTCTGATCCTTAAAGATGAGAAGTTCAAATAAAAAAAAAAAAATGGGGCTGTAAGATCCTGTTTGATGCATAAAATGAAATGGCAAATAAAATGACAAAATAATGTTGATGATAGGAAATGACCTTCATGCCCATTCTCTAGGATGCAACAACAAGTCTTACCTCACTAAACAGGTTGGCTATATGGATTACACGATGTCATTGTACTCTATCAATAACTAAGCTTTTGAAAATATCGTTAACCAAGAGGTTTTGTTCGACCTCATACCCTAGGATAATCAATGCTAAAAACAATAAAGGAAAGGGAAATTCTCTCTGATTTGATCTGTGATCTTATAGCGCCATTTTTGCAGGTTGGTGTACTTGATGAAGTTAGGACTATCTGAAAGAGACATTGCATTGATGGTACGATCATTTTCTCCTCTGCTTGGATACAGCATTGAGGAGGTTCTGAGACCCAAAGCAGAATTTCTGGTGAACACAATGGAGAGGCCAGTGAAGGACGTGGTGGGATACCCCAGGTATTTTAGCTATTCTTTAGAGAAGAAGATAAAGCCAAGATTTTGGGTGCTTAAGGGAAGAAACATTGAGTGTAGTTTGAAGGATATGCTAGCAAAAAATGACGAAGAATTTGCTGCTGAATATATGAATCTCCCATCTCCTCATTCTTGAATTCAGCATGGACTTGTGTCTTGCTAGGCTGTAAATATTATATACCCTTGGTTTCCAAGTGTATATTTATTTTCATAGGTTTAAAGAGAGCTCAAAAGTTAGGAGAAGATTATTTTTTTGGGAGAATATCAATGAAGGACCGTTGAATTTTTTTAAAAGGACACTAGTTAGATGTAATGCTTGTTGTAACAATAACTTCACTTCTTCAACGGTCCTTCATTGATATTCTCCTTTTTTTTTTTTTTACTAAATTACAAAAATCTGCAAAACGGTGAGCCACCCTGGTAAAATACTTGCACAATTTTTGCAAGATGCATTGCCATAAGATAGACATGTTTTATTGTTTTGGTCTTGTGTGTCCACAGTTTATTTATTCATTCATATTATTTTACTTTATAACAATTTTGTAGTGGATCTTTTTAATACATAAAATTCAAATTGAAATTCCCAAGAAATCATAAGAAGGCTGTTGATTGGATAGCATGTTCAGTGACAATGGGGATGTGCTTTCCGGATTGGGTTCTCAAGCTGCCATCTCTGCTTGTTTCTCTCCTAGATCGAAACGTCCCTGCGTCGAGGATGACTTTTTTTGGTGTTTTGTTCTTGTTTGTTGTTGCCTTTGCTTGGCTTTTGTTTTGCTCTAGCTGCTGATTTGAACTCTTTAGTTCTTTCGTTGTCTCAATGAGTGTTTCTGTTGGCCAAAAAAAAAAAAAATCAAATTGAAATTCATTTTGATTGCTCATAGTTATCATTTTATTGAAGGTAAATCGAGGAACAATCATACATTAAATATCGGCATCTTTCGATGAGGATTTAGACGTTGGTTTGTTACATTGTGAAAGAATAATTTCTTCCAATGGGCGCAATCCCTGTTGAATTGAAATTCTTATCTTTTAAATAATGCAGTTGGTAGATGTACTTGAGAGTGATTAGTTGAGTCATTTCAGAAGATGAGATTAATGGTTTGTATAATAAGTTCACTAATCACTAGAGGATAACAAATTATGTACACACATAAATGTAAGTACAGTGAATTCTTTTTTTGATAACCCATGAACAGAGACCACTACATTGTGGATACGACATTCAACCCATTACCATTGTCCCTATTAATAATCCTAGCCAAAGCTGAAGGAACTTGGGAAACTTCATGAAGGCCAGTTATAGCTAATAAACCCATTTTTTCTAAATAATCTGATACATCCATTACTACAATAAAGAATTTATACACAAGTTGAAATTGACATTTTGTACGACATTCAACACATTACCATTGTCCCTCTTAATGAAACTGAGGAAACTTGATAGACTACATGAAGGCCGAGCATAGCTAATAAACCATTTTTGCTAAATAATCTAGTACGTGCACTATTACAATAAAAATTTGAGTAAAAGTGTATTTTTGCTTTTAAAGTATTTTTCAAAAAACATTCAGCACTCTAATATTTTTGTTGAAATAATTTTATCTTTAAAGTTATTAAAATGAAACATTTTTATCTTTTCCATCAAATTTTCTAACATTTAATGTTTAAGGTCAATGTTGAAATTTTAATAGAAAGGGTAAAAATGTTTTGTTTTAATTATTTTAAGGACAAAATTGCTCTAACATTAGAATGCTGGTTGCTCTTCAAAAAATATTTTAAGGTGTAAAAATACAACTTAACCTTGAAAACTTTCTACACAAGTTAAAATTGTCATTTTGTATTGGTTCTGCATGACACATACTCCAGTTGAACTTCCCGATTCCTTATAACATTGTGATCGTCATGAGCTGGGTTTGTTCCTGATCTAGTAATTTCTAAAGCTTTAGTGGAGTCCAATTCCAAAATTAACCTCCCAATACCAGCATCCCAAGCCGTCTTTGCCCATGCATCTAAGCCATAACACTCGCAGGATGGAGGCAACAAAATTGTTATTCAAGTGTTTTAGTTTTCTTTTTTGAGCCTCCTTAATATTGTCAACCATGGGAACACAGTTAACATCTAGAAAGATAAATGAATAAATTATTCTCCCAAACATGGGGTCTAGTAGCATTGTAGATTATGAATTCATTTGTTGTCTAAATTGCTTTTTCAACTTTTAAAAATTGTGTAATCTAGCATTTGTCATTAATAAAAGTTAATTTTCATAATTAATTGACTAGAAATGATAGAATAGAAGAGAACATTTTTAAGTTATAGAAAAGGACTAATTTTTTTGATCATTGTCTTTAATTTTGGGATCTTCTATTATATTTTTTTTGATATTTCTGTAATTTGATATTATTTTTTAGTTAACTAATAGTTAAAATTAATTTTTATTAATGATAAGAATTAGATTATGTCATTTTTAAAAGTTGCAGGAACAATTTAAACAATAAATAAGTTCAGAGTTTATAGTACTATTGAACTTAAAATTTAAAGAATAATTTGCTCATTTATCCCCAATCAAAATACCATTTCACAAAAACCAAAATGTCAACCAAGACCTTAAGGGGTTATTCAATAATTATCATTTCGTATTAGTAGTATTTATTTGTTATTGACTATCTCTCTCTGTTTTTTTTTTTTCCAGCTATGTCTCTTTGACTATTCCAAGTGCAAAATTGGGGATGTAAGTGAACATACTAATTTTAAAATGGTTTTGGAATTAATATCTTCTGTCTATCTTTCATCCATTAATATTATGGTTTATTAGCTGTTAAAAAAAAGTATTGCGGAATACCATTCAAAGAATCAAAAGATGAAACAAGTTCAAATAGTAAAAACCAATAATCAGATAGAATATTGCAAAAGAGCTAATAGCAACTAAGAAAACCATTTTATTCCAATTGCAAAATGAACCCAGCCGGGTCGTCGAGATCAAGCAATCGAACGAACTAAAGAATGAAACGCATAGACAAATTTTTGCCCGAATTAATGTTCATCTGGTCGTTAGAAAATTTAAGAATAAAATAGATTAAAAAAATAAAATAAAATTGAAGTAAATCACCCATTTCTTCCATCATAAATATAGTAAACTGTAATCATATATGCTATAACTGTAAAAATAATTATATCTTCTAAAAAATTTC